GAATCACCCACTATGGCTTAGCTCGTCTTATCACACCGGCGCAAACCAGATATCCATCGGAGGAAGGTTTCCGCAAAAGGTCCCACCGCAAATGCTCAAGCGCTGTCATATGGATGCTCTTTGAAAGTGTTGCCAACTCACTAGTGGTTACATTCAGACTTGTATTCGGGAGCTTAGAGAACAGTCACCATTCTCCCATACGTGGGATGGTCCAGCTTCGGTTGAAATATCTCCAGCTGCCCAGCGTTGATACCAACGAGACACCATGGCAAACAAGTGACATCCTTTCTGAACATTAGATCTGCGCAAAAAAGAACAAAAAGACTAAAAAAGCAGTCTACGAAAATTCAAAATTCGAAATTTTTAAAGAGCCCATGATGTACCCGCTTAGTGAAATTTTCAAGAACACGCTGCAGTAATAAGGGACCAAATGTTAAGTCAAAGCTTCGAAAGCGTTAAAGTTTTTCATCACGGTTTGTTCGAGATATCACAGGACTTTTCGTCCGCCTAATAGCTGGTCAGTCAAAGAATCTGTTTTTCGTTTCCCCCTGGAAAGAAATTCTAGTGTTGTTCAGATTTACTCATATGTGTCGAAATTGGATAATGAAATCGAGAAGTGCAATTATTCATGTCATCTGTTTTACATGACCGATGACCAACAGAAAATGGTCATGCAAGAACGACTCAAGCTGCCGGAAGGCTACACTTTTGGTGAGTAAATTATTTTCACTGATTTATGACGTCACTTAAGCACCAAAATGCGTCTTTTTTATGGATAGGGCATGTAACATTCTCCAACATTTTCCTAGCTATTTCATCCTTGCGAAACCTGGCCACAGAAGGGGGAGCGCCGGCGTCAGCAATCCGGCTGGTTATGTAAAAGGCAGCTTCGGTACGCGCCCTGCGCTAAACTCATTCAAGAGCGTAGTCGCAGTTGAATGTATATTTGACCTGTAATAGCAGCCGTCAATACCGCAACATTTAGTTCAAAGTTTTAGATCCTCTATTACTGCACAGATTTTAGTAGAGGATGGAACAGCCTCGTTCATCTGGTCCGTACTAAAACACAAGTTAACGTGTGAATTATTCAGTGTTGCTCTAACTCATTTCTATACTATAATTTATCTAGTTCTGGCGTTGATCAATCCCTTTTGGGATGCGCCACGCATTCAACTTCCATTCAGAAGCTTACTGATACTTGGAGGCAGCTTCGCCTATACAGTTGCTGCGAGTGCCAGCCAAAATTGCCAGATCTGGATCCGGAGAGAAGCCTTATTAGTTCAGCTGAAAATCGCGCTCCGAAGATTAAACCATCTAGACCATGCCGCATGAATTGGCGACGATTACAACCCTTTTCTTGGATCGGACAGGCATACTACTCCTATTTCGGAATCCTTAGGGAATGATATGAATGCGGAACAAGGCCTAATGGTTACTAAGCGGTCGCGAGCCGATGTACCAGGCCTGGTGTCTTCATAAAAGACCAGTACCAGTTGGATATGTAGCCTGTAGGAAAGGCTTGTTGCCCTCGTCGGCGGACCAAAAATTAGAATCAAACCCACTAGCGTACCGTTGCTCTGTAAGGTGCCTTCTTGCCCCCGCTTACCACTATCGGTCCTCAATATGCTGTCGGAGTTTGTTGATTAATCAAATGCGAGTAAGTGCTAAAATCTGTACGTGAAGAACAGGACCAATTTGAGACCTGTTGGAATTGCGAGAAATGGTTGAGATTCACTGGGTTCAGGTACGCCGAATCTTGAAGAAGAGGCGCATTGTATGACTGGTGCTTGGCGATATGGAGCCGACAGCGAGCTTGAGTTGACCAGGTAGGGTAACATTGTCGTTTTCATTGCTTCCCTAGAAGGGTGCGTTATTTCAAGCGCTGTTCGGAGGGGGAGGGGAGAGGGGAGGTGGAAAGGGATGTGGGCCTTTTGCATTTCCACTAGCTCCTTTTGCTAAAGGTAAGACCTCTAGACTTTTGTCAAGTGTAAAAGCTCCTGCTGTTGCACAGCTTTCGTCATAAGAATTTACACAGCGCCCATCACCAGTGCTATGGAAGCCAGTAAAATGCTCCAGCAAGCCAAACTGCGACGCATTCTGACTACACCATTCAAACAAACCCCTACAACTACAGAGAACCATGAAGGGAAATGAATAGCCTCCAAATGCGCCACCCAACGACTTCTTTTGCCTAATGGAGAAGAGTTTACCGGAGCATACAGCTCCAAAATGATAGTGAGCATCGTAAAAATGAGCAAAAATAAAGCCATGTTGTTTGACTGGCTCTCGACTGGTCCTTTCCTAGTGCCCCGGCCTTCCTTGGGGAAACTATAATATGTAGCAGACTTCATTTATTTTATTCCATTTATTTTAACTTACGCCAGAAAGAAAGAAAACAACATGAAAATGAAAGCAGCAACACACACATCAGAGCAGACACGCAAATGTCCAAAGTTACCGCAGAAAAGTAAAAACAGCAAGGTAGGTAGGACATAAGTTAGTAAACGAAACACGTCTCCTAGAAATGTTGATCCTATGAGTCGAGTGGTTCAAAACAAGCAGTGAGAAAATAATGGATGGAAGAGAACGAAAAAACTAAACGTCAACTAGTAAGGCCAGAAATAGTTCAATCAGAAGAGAGTTCCACTAGAAGAAATATAACAAATGCAGCCGAAATCAACGCAAAAGTATTTCACTCGTCACAACAACCAAACTAACTAAGCTTGGTTTTTTTAATCGGAAGACCACCGTTATACCGCACTAGTTGGCTGTGATGCCCGTCGCCACATAGTGGGGGGAGGGGTCATAGAGGCTTGTCATAACTTTGGAACGCTGTTATACCATCCCCCCCCCCCACCCCCCCTCCCCATAGAGACGGCAAAGTAAAAACGGAGGTACCATATGTTCCTCTATGCCGGCGTACTAGATTACTTTCACCGACTTTTACGATAATACAGTATTACCTAGAGAAACGCTAGTTTCACCAGAGTTCCTGGGTTCATTTTTATATTTTAAGAAGAGCCACTCGACGTTTAGGTTGTCAGAAGCAGAACATACAAACGATGGGCAGTATAAGCAGCACTCAGACTCATCTAAGATATCGAAACAATGAGAAGATGCTCTTGGTCGATGCAAATGAAGCTCATAGCCTATGAATAATCTGTCCTCAGTTACGAGGTACAGCAGAAGTCCATCCTTTGCTTGACTACCAAACATGGCACACTCGATACCAACATCTGTAGGCCGAATGACCGTTTTAGAGGGGGTCAATTTTCTCCAAATTTTCACGAAAAAAACAGATACATTTGAAGATTGCATCACGCAGCTGGAACCAACCAACCACTTGGCCGTTCGTAGCCAACCATTTGGCACCACAGAGAAAGATAAGGATTGTACCGTTTTCTTTTCAGTTGAAGGCATCTGACTCCTTAAATGTTCTCACGCCCTATACAACGGCTGAACCTCCAGTATTTACTAGTCTCGAGGCCAGTTGCGCTCTTGGGCACCGAAACAAGACATAAGGTCAATAACTACTGGATGATAGTGTAGCCTGCTTCATACTGAAGAAGTTCAAGCCTTCCTCGATAGTCCGGCACGGCGTGTGAAAAGTTCTCACTGTGAAAGCACCTACCAAATATAACCCTAGTAAAACTTGTCGAACTTTTTTACGTTTGCTTGTGATCTTTTCGTGAGAGGGTTCCGAGTTTGAGACGCGTATTCCATAACTAGGATAACATACGCCTCGTATCCAAGGACTTTTGGCTATGGTCGATGGACTTGTCAGATCCCGGCATCAGGTTCATGGCGGATGAATCACTGGAAGTAAATTCGCGCAGATTCATTTTCAGCTGACGGGATATCGCCTTTGTTTCGCAGTAGAGTTTCATCGACTCATCGCATGTTTCACATTTTAGT